GTTTTCAATGAAGCTCTTCTGCTCAATGCACACAAAGTTGTAGAAAATTCTGCATCTTAATTGCTTAAGTACAAAGTTTAAAAAAACAATAGAGTTTTAAACATGTTGAATGATGGTAGAACTAAGATCCTGTTATTTTGGCACAAAGTGGAATCAACAGGTCCAAGTCCTACTAACAATAACCTTACGAGGCAGTCCTGCCCTGAGTGCCACCTAACCACAAGTTATCAACATGAGCTTTGCTCCTTAGCTTTTGAACTCTGCTACCCAATATAATAATATTTTCAATGCATATCTCTAACAACTCTGACTTTGGCAGGTGCCTCTGGAATTCATTACTGTAGATGACCATCATGTGACACTCCTTTAAAAAATGTCACTTATTCCCTGTTTCCAGTAAATAAGTCTTTCACTGAAGATAGATACTGCTATGCTCATTCTACACTTTGTCTAACTGCATTTGATAGGTTGATATGTCCTGCTTTTAACTCCTAGTTTTAAGATCAATGCACTGGTTTAATGTACAAAGAACAGTGCTCTCCTTTACTATAGTGATCTAAATGTATGGATTTTTTCCATGTGCATATACGGCAGAATTTTGTATAGAAGAGGTTAAATGAAGTCATTATTGGGGGAAAGAATTACACAAAGTAGGTACAGTTCAGTTCCAGAAGGAAAAAAAAAATTTATCTGTAAAATCCATTAGTTTCAAAGTTTGCTATTACAGTAGTGCTAAAAGTGGACTTTCTTCAGTTTCCACTGTTAATCTAAAGTATCTGAGCACAAGCATATTTAAACCAAATTATTACATGCCACAGTTTACACCATTAGTTTACAGTAAATTAAAACTAATTCTGCAGACAGGCCACAGGCCACATTCTGGATCAAACATATGACTTGAAGTGAACTTATTTTGAGTGCAGCTTAAAAGCGGTTAGTGAAAAAAATTTAAATGCTCTTAGCAATAGTATTACAGAGACACCCATCCCCATGTTAGCATTCTAGACAACCACCATAAGCATTAGTAGGGTGAATCTGGGTTTTTAGAATCAGTCACTACACACTCCACCAGTGACCACAGGCAGTTTATACAAGGTTCTGTAGTAAAACCTCCCAAAAGCTGTCAGATAGCATCAGATAGCAAATCCTAAGGAGCTACCCAGTTTCAGGTGCAGAAGACCACAGCTGGAGCAGAAAAAAGCAGTACACGGGTAGCAGGTGTTCATCTCTGTGAGGGCTTGTAGGCTGTCCCAGCCCAGCAGGAACCCACCACAATGCATGTCCTCAGAGACACAGATTCAGCTTTCAAGCGCATGAGACTGACACTCACAATGTAGGGAAAAACTCAGCTGTCATTATGTTGTTTTAAAACATTTGCAGATCAGCTTTTGGAATTTTTCCTTTGTCATTCTAGCAAGCAGATAATGTTTCTTGTTTTATCTCTCTAAAATGATATCTAAGTCCTTGCTTGCTGGGAGAAGGCTGGAAAGAGGAAGTTGTTCTCTTAGACCTGAATCTGTGTCTCAGTAGGCCAAGCCACTGCTGTACAGACAACATTTCTCTCCTTGCTAACTGTCACTTAATCTCAGTGCTGCATTTCTGTTTTCAAAAGAGTACACTTCATGAAAAGCTTCAATTGTAAGATTAAAAGTAATGCGCTAGAATTGACTCATATAGCAGGTCACTGAACTACAAGCCGTTGCAAAAAGGAAATGAATCTACAAGCAAAACCAAAATAGAGAACCAGAAGAATGTGTCCAAAACACATCCTGTTTTCAGATCATGCTGTGTGCCCTTCCTTCCACTAAAGCAAATTTCTACTGTGGCTCCAAAGTCTTCCTCAGGCACTAGAGGCTCTTTGCAGGAAAAACCTCTAAGGGAAAGCTAGGAGGAAGAGATGAAGAAGGGCAGCACTTCAGAAGTCCTATTTTATTGTAAATGGTGCTTTATAAATGGTGAAGGTATTCTATTTAACACAGAAAAACATAATTCTCCTTCAGATACTAAATCAAAAGCCTTAAGCAATTATCCTCTTTCCATTCTGCTTGCACATAAATAACATGCATTTGAAAAGGACAGGAAGGTAGTAGGAACAGCTAAGACACAAGAACTGACTCTGATAACTGGTTTATGTTCTTTCTTTATGTGCTTCACAGGACGGCATGCAGAGGAAAGTGTGCGTCAGAGCCCTTCCTCTCAAATTCCCCATGATACAACAAGAAATACTTCCAAAATACCTCTATCTGTGTGTCATCACCACACCAGCACATAAGGAAAAAATGCTAACACAGAATTATAGTGTTACAAGGCTATGACAGTGAGAAGAGGAAAACTAATATAATGGCTTGGAGCACTACAACACATGGGGATATTCTGTCAGAATAATGTAAGAGCTAGGGGTGGAAAGTATTTTGAAAGTTGTTACAGTGTCAGCCCTGGAGAGACCAAGCCCATCCTTGAGAATATTGTTATCAGAATGATATGCCTTTGTGAAATTACGTCCTCACTTGTGATCATGGCAAACTTTTCAAATAGTTTTTGCTAAATGTATCAGCTCCCTCTCAGAAAGACAGTGTCCTGACATGTTCCCGTTGCACTTCGGTGGGAAGATTGCATACCAAGTGATTTTTGTAAGGTCTGTTGTGCCACCAGGAGGATTTCTATTGAACTACACTTTTAAATGTTCCAGGATAAGTACATGGGATTTTACAGATTACATTTGTGATTACTGGTTTACAGAAAAAACACTCAGCCTCTTACTTAAAAAAGAGAGTGGTTTGTTGTTTTTTTTTTTTAATTTTCACTATCTTCAATATTTTTACATCTCATAAATTCTCTAAATTGATTTAAGGACATGAATGATAACTAACAGAAATCCTTGCGAACTGCAAAAGAATATGTTCACAGGTACACTTTCACTCAATGTATCATTTACTATGAAACAACATGTATATGTTCAGTTCTGGGTTCCTCAGAACACCAAAGACAGGGAGACGGTCCTGTAGAGGCCCACAAAGATGATGAGGGGTCTTGAGCATCTCTCTTATGAGGAAAGACAGCAGGAACTGGGCCAGTTTAGACCTGAGAAGAGAGGGGATCTCATTAATTCATATAAATATCTTCAAGGCGAGTGCTAAGAGAATTGTGCCAGATTTTTTTCAGTGGTGCCAGGCAATGGGATGAGGAGCAATAGCCATAAGCTAAACCACAAAAAGTTTCATCTCAGCAAAGAACTTATGTGGAGTGTGTTATAAAAGAAATTAGAATTTTGACAACTAGGTCTATTGAGTTAACAGAAGTTTAATTAAAAATGAATACAGTTTAGTAAATTGAATAGTAATTTGGTATAAAAGAATACAATTTCTTAAAAAATACAATTTAGCAAAAAAAAAAAAAAATACAATTTACATATGTAATTAGCCAGTAATTAAGTATCATTAAAGCATAAGCAGAACTGACCGGGGTATGGAGAGGGTTTCTCACCCTGCCTCATGTACAAAACAAAGCACTTCAAACTAAACTGATATACTGTATGCTTATACATATTCATTAATGTTTCCCATAAGTCTCCTCCTATTTCCCATTCTTTAATTTTACATCACTATTCTTTTGCCTCATTTGTTGTTAGGGGGTCTTCATTCTTCTTTTGGTAGTCTTTGGACTAAGGCTTACACTTATCCTCGTTGTCCTCTGGATAACCTCACAGGTTGAGCTTGCATACTAAGCCTTGTGTTATGTAAGCAAACATTATGTTCCACTAATTAGTCTTACATTTAATAATTTTCAGGCCCTATGCCTAAAGTCGTACCAACTTTATCCATCTCAAGGTCGATTTTGTCTTGGGACATCACATATCTCAAAACTACATCCTGTACCTTAATTTTAACCATCTGCCTTGTAACACTGATTCTCTTTGTCAGGAAAATTAATCCACAAACACCAGAGGTTTGTGTCCAAAAAGGAGACAGAGGAGTCCTTTTACTTTATTTGAATAAAGGGAGAAGCCATGGGGCATTCCTCTGGGGTCTCTCAAATTTTTGGAGGGCGCTGCCTCCCTTTTATCCTAATTCCTGGCCACATGTCCCTTCTCTCTTTCCCCATAGGCTGATGAGAGGCATGATGCGTTTGTCTTTACAAACAATCTGTGGGTCTGCTGATAAAATGAAACTAGCACTGAGAGATAACAGAAACAGTGGGATGGATTCCGTTGAAGGATGAAAGAGGCACTGAGGAAGCACCATGAATTCCACAAGAGTTAAGAATTAAGAAAGAATTATGCATTGCGAGGAGGGGGGCAAGGTACCCCAGGTATCAGGCATTCCAGGCAGTCTGTACCTCTCAAGTACCTCAGCCTATGGGGAAAGAGAGAGGGACATACGGCCGGGAATTAGGATAAAAGGGAGGCTACGCCCTCCAAAAATTTGAGAGACCCCAGGGGAATGCCCCATAGCCTCTCCCTTTATTTGAATAAAGTAAAAGGACTCCTCTGTCTCATTTTTGGACATAAACCTCTGGTGTTTGTGGATTAATTTTCCGGTCACTGAGGTACAGACTTCCCAGAACGCCTGATACCTGGGATATCCACACGCCCTCCCCCCCCTCTCCCAGTGCATAATTCCCTTCTTAATTTTTAACTCTTGTGCAATTTTATGGTGTTTCCCCAGTGCCTCTTTCATCTTTCAGTGGAATCCATCCCACTGTTTCTGTTATCTCCTAGTGATAGTTTCATCTTATCAGCAGACTCACATCTTGTTTGTAAAGACAAACCTGTCATTCCTCTCATCCTATTTGCTTCTAATAATAACTTTCCAAATAGTTACAATTTAGTTAGCACAAATCAATTCCATTTATTACAAGTGGCAGAGCACTGGAACAGCTGCCCAGGGAGATTGTGGAATCTCCCTCTCTGGAGACACTCCAAACCCACCTGGACACATTCCTGTGTCACCTGCTCTAGGTGACCCTGCCTGGATGATCTCTAGAGATGCCTTCCATGAAGGCTATGTCAGCATTCTACGATTCTGTGCCATATGACTGATGATGTAGTCAGCAGCTAGTGTGAAGTCGATGCGCTTCTAAACGGCATTTCTGAGCTGCAAGATGCGGTATCCCAGGGTGTCGGAGGCACACGTGTGGCCATTCCGCAGCGGGAGCACTCCCGCCCCAGGCACAGGCACAAGCACACAGGCACACGGCACAGGCACACAGCACAAGGCACACGGTACAGGCACACGGTACAGGCACACGGCACAGGCACACAGTACAGGCACACGGCACAGGCACACGGCACAGGAACACGACACGGGCACACGACACGGGCACACGGCACGGGCACACGGCACGGGCACACGACACGGGCACACGGCACGGGCACACGGCACGGGCACACGACACGGGCACACGGCACGGGCACACGGCACGGGCACACGACACGGGCACACGGCACGGGCACACGGCACGGGCACACGACACGGGCACACGGCACGGGCACACGGCACGGGCACACGACACGGGCACACGGCACGGGCACACGGCACGGGCACACGACACGGGCACACGGCACGGGCACACGGCACGGGCACACGACACGGGCACACGGCACGGGCACACGGCACGGGCACACGACACGGGCACACGGCACGGGCACACGGCACGGGCACACGACACGGGCACACGGCACGGGCACACGGCACGGGCACACGACACGGGCACACGGCACGGGCACACGGCACGGGCACACGACACGGGCACACGGCACGGGCACACGGCACGGGCACACGGTACAGGCGCACGGCACAGGCGCACAGGCGCACGGCACAGGCGCACGGCACAGGCGCACGGCACAGGCACACGGCCCAGGCACACGGCACAGGCACACGGCACAGGCACACAGGACAGGCACACGGCACAGGCACACGGCACAGGCACACGGCACAGGAACACGACACGGGCACACGACACGGGCACACGGCACGGGCACACGACACGGGCACACGGCACAGGCGCACGGCACAGGCACACGGCACAGGCCCACGGCCCAGGCACACAGGACAGGCACACGGCACAGGCACCCGGCACAGGCACACGGTACAGGCACACGGCACAGGCACACGGCACTCCCGCCCCCGGCACAGGCTCACGGCGGCGCGCCGGGCGGGAGCGCGCGGAAGGGGCGGCCCGCAGGCGGACATGCCGGTGAGTTGTTTACGGTCTGCTGCACCATGCCCGGTGCTACCGTCGGCCACCGCGGGGACCGTGGGGGCAGGGGGTGACGGAGCGGAGTGGCTGCCCTCGGTCTCCGGCCGCTCGGGCTCACCGCTGCTGCCGGCCCTGCGGCCCCGCTCCACGTGGCTGCGTAACGCGGCAGTGCGCTTTTCCTCTTGCCCCACCCAGCTGGCCAAAGACCTAGTGCATCCCTCCTTAGAGGATGAGAAGAGAAAGCACAAAAAGAAACGTCTTGTCCAGAGCCCAAACTCCTACTTTATGGATGTAAAATGTCCAGGTAAATATTTAAACATTTATTTAAATTAAGTTTATTTATTAAGCATTTATTTAAATATTTACAATGGTCATGCGTTATGGAAGGAACAAAACTAATTTTGTACACTGTTCATCTTCATATAACGGTTAATAATTATTTTTTTTTTTTAAATCTGCGTTTGGTTTTATCTATTCTGTAGAGAAAAGTGTCTGTATATTGCTTTGGGTTTTTTAAAAATAAAAGTGTTTTCTATCTTTGGAGAAAGTTAATGTAAACAGTCAGACTTTTCTGGAGGTACTCGCATGAGGGCTTCTTTAGGTGGGATTTTTTCCTTTATAAAACCCTTGTAAACCCTCAGATTTGCATGTATAAGAAGTGAGATTAAATGGATGCCTTAGCATCCATAGCACAGGTATCAAACAGAAGCCAACATAGTTTTTCTCCTTTCGTAAGTTAGTTTTTGAAGAGCAACAGGAAAAGCTTTTGACAAGGATATATGCGGGGATACTGCACATATACATAGAAAATAAAACCTTCACATCTGCCTTTTTTGCATGTTGCTGTTAAGAACTAAGCTCATATACAAGGATTGTAAGATGTTGTCTACACCCACTTTTCACAGATCTTCATTACTTTGGCTCAGAAACATCTGTATAATCAATTTCTTTTTTATAAATTAAATGATGGGATTTCCTAGCACCATTACAGGAGTGTGCTCTGTCAGCTTTTTTATTCAGCACAGTTCCATCCATTGTTGCCCAGTGTGGTAACTTCCTAGAAACTGCGGCAGCATAAGAAGATTCTAGGAGTAAGAAAACACTTCCTTATAATAGTGAATCTTCCTGACTTTGAAGCAGGGAATTGTTGATGTGCTCAGGTTTTCTTGTTATCTTATTCTTTATTAGTAGCCTAGTTTTCTAAGAAGCTCTGAGACATTGTATTCCATCTGAAAGTGAGGTAAATTAATTTAAACAGCTTGAAAGTAAATTGTGGTTGCTTTTAAACAAATAGAGGGTTGAAGGCTAAGCCTCTGGGGTTTTGGGGGGGTTTTTTACACTTCAAACCAGTATACATGAATGCATACACTGTGATACAGCTAGTGTCAACATAGGCCCATAGGTCATTGGTTATCTTCATTATTGTTGGATTAATTGCTTTTTGTGTTTGAGGGATATATAGAGTAAAGCAGGAGTGCTTCAGTAATGATAGGATCCCATGCACACGTCATTGAAAATAACAAATGGTTTTATGTGTCCCTGGGTCAGTGGAATTGGAAGTTCCTACCTAGATACTCAAGTGGGTTGGGCTCGTTTCCCTGCCAAACCCACAAACGTTAAAAACTCATCAACATGCAAGTTCACATTCAGTAGGGGAAAACCAAAATTTGCTGTGACTAAATTTTAGCTGTTAGCAGTTTTTCACAAAGAAAGATTTGTACAGTTACTTTTTGTGTTTTAAACAGAGATCTGTTATTCTGTCTATTAGTACTTCTTCCTAGCAAGCAGACCTTTTGTCAGAGGACCCTCCTCACAACATGTATTCTTGTCTTAGCTTTCTGATCCACATGTGCTGAAAAATGCTATCTCTGCTCACCTTTACCTGTTTATTTTGTATATTCACATCCAGATTAAATTCTTTATAGGTTTTCTCCCTCCAAAAATACCTCTTGAATAATTAAAAATACTTTTCAGGAGAAAAAAATTGAAAAGCAGTGAAAATCACATTTTTAAGCCATGTATGAGTGATTTCATTATTTCTTAAGTCATAGAATTTGTAAGTTGTAGACAAAAGCATTTCATAGGGAATTAGTGGAGTTATTCTGTGCAAGTCTTTCCATTTAAAAACTATCTTAGTTTTGTAGAATGCAACCAAGCTTTACAGGTACCAATTATTAAACAGAAAGCAAACACAGATTGGAACAGCACTGTTTATATTCACAGCCAGACTTTGTCAGCAGCAGTATTGTACTGTTACAAGTTAAATATTTCCCCAACTACATGGGCTCTTCTGTTCAGCAGAGAAGGCTAATCTTAATAACTGCTGAACTTCTGTGCAGGAGATGTGATAGGCAAATTAGGGATTGTCAGCCAGCAGGGTCTGTTGATTTTCATACGGGAGTCATACCAGTTTCTGTTACCTAACTTTCTTTCCTTTGCATGTAAGTAAAGGCAAGCACTTCAGAACACAACAATGGTTTGCTTCGTTTGGCTTGGTGTGTTGTGTAATGAAATACAGATGCATTTTGGACAAGTGTATTTAGAGTACCTGATTCAATTAACACATTAAAAAAATTATGCTAGAAATACCCAGTGGAAAGTTTCATAATGCTGTTTTTCAGGATGCTACAAGATTACCACTGTCTTCAGCCATGCTCAGACAGTAGTTCTGTGTGTAGGGTGCTCAACTGTCCTGTGTCAGCCAACTGGGGGCAAAGCCAGGCTCACAGAAGGTAAGAACAGTGTTACACAACCTAAATATGCCACTTACATAAATGCATTTTATAGCCTGCAAATATTTTACCTTTGATTTTGGAAACTGATACTGGAACAGTGATTTTGCAAATTGCTTAGAGTTGACTAGTAGAAACAGGCCCAGAATTGTGAGTTTTTCTTCAAATTCTTTGTTTTTAAATGGTTTTAAACGTTTTTAAGTGGCTCTGCAGATATGCCAGGCAGCTAAACACCTACATTGTCATCAAACACACTTCATTTTAGGTGACTTGTCATTCCCTTCAGCTTAAATAATAAATACTGCTGCTTAACTCTGAGTTATGTTTAGAGTGTAAAAAAGCACCATCAAAGGAGTAGGGTACTTTTGCCAGGCTAAAGTAATTCTGTGCCACTGTGCCACTAATGGCTTGCCTGTTTGTTTTTAAACAGCCCTACTGTAAAGCAGTTCCCTGGCTCAAAGAAAATTTGTTTCATATAAATTATAAGGGAAGAAATAACCACTGATAATGTAGACGCAGATAAGTGGTATAACACCAATATCTTTGAGTGCAGCCCAGTGTCTGGGGTGTATGAAAAGCACTGGAAACACTTTAGGATTTAAAAAATGTAAAAATTAATCCAGATTTTATTAATTTATTGTTTAAAGGGCAAAAGGTAAACACATGTACAAATTACACATAGCAGTGCTTGTATAATTTGCTACTACACAAGGGTAGTAAACATGAGGACAGAATACCTGAAGTAAGGCTGTTGAGCAGTTGAAATGGTAACAACACACATAGCAGCTGTTTCAGTTTGAGGTTTGTATCACTAAGGGATGGAACAGTAGACTGAAATTTTAAAAGGCATCTGGAAGAAAACAAATAGTACACCATAATCCTAAGATGAATTGCGTGACATTCATGTTGTTCACACTGAGCTAAAGAAGACTTACAAGTGCCAAGTCTTCACCTCTTGTGGTACATGTAATTTAAACTTAATATATTAATTTTTTACTTACATTGGATGGACAATTTTTCAAGGCAGTCTAACAATTTAAGGACTATCCATATCTACTCACATGATTTCTTTGCAGGCTGTTCATTTAGAAGAAAGCAACACTGAACAGTTCAGCATGTGATTTTTGGATCTGAGCTCCTGAAAGCCTTACTAGTTTAAAAATGCCTGTTACAACAAAAATGTAATTATGATTGATTTTGTACAAATTGCATGCTACTGCTGACTAATCTGCTGGAATCTCTTTTTCAATAAATGATCTGAAGTGCAAGTTTTTCCTGTAAGTTTGCAGACAACCGAGCTCTATTTTTCTAATTTTACATTTAAACAGTAAAAACCTTGGACTTCTGCATCCTGCCCCTTGTTAATCATAAACTACAGCAGTGTAATGCATATAGTGACAGAAACTGCTTTAAGAATGCATTATGTGTATTTTATTGCTGCAGCTACCATAACTGCAAGGGTTGCAAAAGCTAGATAAGATTTAAAATGGCTCATTTACTTTCAATGTTGCTGTAATCCCTTCTCCATCTTGGGTAATATGGTGATAAATAAAAATGTAAAATTACTCACTTATGTTCAGCTGTTTCTCTGGAATGCTTGGATTTTCCCTCCCTATAATTTGATCTCAAGACTGTACTTGGTATTCTAAACTGAGATTTCTATCAAAAAAAAAAAAAAAAAGGTACTCCTTTGCAAAGCACTGAAAACATTCAGTATATAGAAGGCTATTGGCATATAAAAGTCATGGAACCACACTAAGAGGTGTGAATGGTTATCTAAGCACTAGTACAGCAAACCCAAGCATATTGTTAGTATTGAATACTGTCGTTAAATAATTGCTGTCTTGTAATAAGGAAAAGGGTTTAATTAGTTTTTGAAAGCCATGTCTTTCTAAATGGCTGGTAAAAATGGATTTTGTTTTTAACCATGAGAAAATATTCAAACAAAATCTTACATATGTAATACCTCAAGTTATGTATCAACATCTCTTAAAAGTATCCGGTCTCTTGGTGAGCTAATTATTATTGGGATTTTCTAATTAACTAGTATTCTTTTTATGACTTTGAAAACTTGGACATGTCTAGTCATTAAAATAAACCAAAACCCTGATACCACAATTTGTTGTGTTTGCAAGGTAAGTTTTATTTCTGTTATTTCAAACAGCAAACATGTAATTACCATATGCAGAAGGAGGTGTTTGATACAGAAACAGGTGTACCAATGGAATACACATGCCTTCTAAGAAAAGTAGAAGTTTATGTCAGTGCCACTCACAACAAAGGTTCACTGACAAGTAAGTTTATCGTGGAAGCTGCTTTTAATTGACCAGACAGTTTCCCACATACAATGCAAGCCCATCAAATTACTGGTTTTAGAGCAAAGATCAAAGTAGCAATATTAGTTGTGACCTGAATACCTATGCTAAGGCCAGATTGATTCCTAGTCTCTCATATCTCTGCCTTCTCTGCCCTAAAAGATAAGAACTCATGATTAGTTTAATACCAAAGCAGAGACTGTAAGGGACCCATTTTGTTCCAGGTAGGAGAAGATGAAATGTAGACATCAGAGCATCTCTAGTACTACACATGTAACATTACAGGCTTTTTAAAAGCCTTAACTTACAGGAGATCAAGTATAAAGAACACAGTGTGCAAAAAAAAAAATAAATTGGTGGCTAAACATATTCTGTGTGGGGAGTGAGACACTGGCATTAATATTGTGGTATTAGCAAAGCCTTAGCTTTTACCCCTTACTCATTTTCATACATACTTCAAGTATTTACATTTGTTAATGTTTGGTCATATACAAACAGACGTAACAGTAAACCTACACCTACATTCTCAATCTTTATGTAAATCCACACACAACAGTCAGCAAGCGAAACTTAATTTCTGCCAAGTATGCAGAATGGTTTTAAAAAATAAGAAATACCATTTGCAAAACAGGTGTATAATATGTTCAAAATCCTAAAATAAGTGTTACTTTTCAGATTTTCTGTATTTAAAATACTGTGTTTGGTCTGTTTCTATTCAGATGTTCAACACAAAACCAGAAGTTCTTATTCTCATTCCCTATCTAAAACTAGCACTGAATTCTGCTGTTTAGCCAGTCAGTAGGTGCTCAAGGCTGGGGGAAGAACCCCAGTACTTCTGTATTGGAACTGTCAGACTGAAACACAAACCTTAAATAGTTTTGGATTTTGGAAAACTTGGGGTTTTAATTGGGAATTGGCATTACTGGAACTAATTGGAATGGAGTAAGCTCTGCTGAGACTAATTAAAAAAAAACCAGATGGGCCATGCTAAAACTAAGGGCAAATGGAGAGGTATTTAGAATTAGAATTTAGAATTAGAAGGTAATTGCTAACTATCCTAGATGTAGAAGCTGACTCAGCTGGGCTTGGGAGGGAAAACAGGGAACTGATAAGGATCTTCGAAAACCTAAGACAATTGTAAATCAAAAAACTCATTAAAACAGGAAACTAGGATCCCAGCCAAAGTCCCATTGGGCCCATTTATCATTTTTCCCTGAAAGGTTGTGTCTTGGTTCTAGAAGACAGGTGTCTGCTAGGGAGAGCAGGAGCCTCCCTTGGGATGAAAGAATGTAGACCCCCTCCCTCTGAATTATTATAATTTTGAAATCAAGGGGCTTTCAGGCCTAGATCTGGGGATAGAAATAACAGTTCTTTACTAGTATAACCAGGTAGACAAACAAACAATAACTACAGCAATAACAAGAAAACAGAACCAGGGACCCCGGGACAGCCTTCTCGGCTGAGATGGGATGGGGGAGAGGCTTTGTTTCACAAACCCCCTCGGGCAGTCAGTCCCGGTGCTCCTGCAGGGCTCCGAGGAGCAGTCGGCTGGAACCGCAGGGATGAGCTGAGATCCTGGGCCGGTGGCTGAGGTGGAACAGCAGGGATGAGCTGAGATCCTGGGCCGGTGGCTGAGGTGGAACAGCAGGGATGAGCTGAGATCCTGGGCTGGTGGCTGAGGTGTATCAGCAGCTCCGCGGCGGTGGCTGGCACTGCCACACGTCCCGGCAGGACAGGGGGTGCGAAGCCACCAACAAAGACGGGAGAAGGAGAAGAAGCAGCAGCTCCGTCTGGGTGATGGCGAAATTCCCTTCTCTTCACCGCAGCAGCTCCGCGACCCAGAAAACGAAATGTCTCTCCCCGAAGCCGAAGAATGCCAGCCAAAAACTGTCCCCACCCTCCTTTCCTGCCCCCTTCCCCCCCTGGGCCCGGCCACTCTTTGTCCTTTGTGGAGCACCCCCGAAGTACCCACAGTTAGGTTGTCCCAGCAACTAATGGGTAAAAATTCCACGGGCAGGCCAGAACAACAAAAAAAAACAAACAAAAAAAGGACACCTAACCCTCAACAGGTTGGAAGGTCAAAATGAAGAGAAGCTGTATACCTTCCTCTCTTCCAGGACCCCTACTCATAAAAAGACCACCGACCCATTTCAAAGAACAAACCATGCATGCTTAATTGCCTTTTTCCTCATTCGCATGAGAAGCGCAGAGTGGGTGGTAACTGGGTTAGGAATATGTATTTGTATTCAACACTTCTCTAAGTAAAAAGCCTGTAGTCACCTGTACTCTGGCTCGTGCCTATTAGGGGTGACCCAGCACCAGTCCAGCGATGACTAAACATATCCTTTCTAAGTAAAACAGTCTTTGTCCATCATTGTTGGGTATTGATACTACATCATATCCATATTTTTTGTAAATCAAGACAAAACCAAAGACTTCAGAAGAAGAGGAGATAATTTATTGCCTGACCAATGAAAGTTAGTTCAGAAGTATTCTCTCTGTTGTTTTCACTAATTGGATATTCTTGAGATAAAGACAATACATTATTAATGAATAAAAAAGAGAAATTTTGGTGAGTGGGCCAGAAACTCCAAGCAAATAATTTTTAAGGTACAACAATGATTGTAATTATGAAGAGTATACTAAACTAGTCTTACTAGCTCCAATTTAAAATGTAGGTAAAACACTGACTCCTCAAAATACTAAATTTCCCAGTTTCTTGGTCTTGGGTAATAAATATTACCATAGGCATAGTGGGAACAGAGATGGAAGCATGACGTAGCATCACAGGGCAGGTAACAACTATGACGATAATACTAAAAGCATGGTTGTCTTCTGCTAGATGCTATCCAAGACATCTTGCTCCTTAAATTCAGAGAAGCAGAGCTGCTAAGCAGTGCAGAAAAGGAAGTAGTGAAACCTTTCCTGAAAAATACTTCTGTTTTGTCTCAGCCTGGAAATACTGTCTAATGTAACTGCAGGGCAAGTGAGGTGGGGGTAAATCTTTGAGATTCAAATCAATTCAATTGAAATTCAAGATCACAAAGATCTTCCATGCCATTGTGAAATATGTAAAATGAACACTTCAGATGCTACTTTATTCCCATCATAAAACTGAAGATTAGAAAATCTCACACCTCTAGTCTCACATCCAACTCTGGGCCCCTCACTTCAAGAAAGACATTGAGGAGCTGGAACATGCAGAGAAAGGCAGTGGACATTCTGCCTTCTCTGGGGGAAGGGTCTGGAGCACAAATCTGATGAGGAGAAGCTGAAGGAGCTGGGAGTGTTAAGCCTGGAGAAAAGGAGGCTCAGGGGTGACCTTATCACTCTCTACAGCTCCCTGACAGGAGGCTGGAGCTGAAACAAAGAAATTAAGAATTTAAAAAAAAAAAAAAAAAAAAAAAAGCTTAACCAAAAGGGATGTCTGACAAAAACCAGACCCTGACACCCTAATCCACAAGAACAGGAAAAAGAGTCAGACTGCACGATGAGATAAGGAGCTGGAATACACAAGCGAGATGCAAAGACAAAGGCACCACAGGATAAAGGAGATTCCTCGAACCCTAAGCCAGAAGAAACGGATTTAAAGTCCCAAAAAAAATAAAAAAGTGACCAAAGGACTGAAAGGGGCACGGGGCTAATTGTAATATGAAATGAAGACAGGCTGGGTTAGGAAATTAATATGTATTAGGCGTATCGTGTAAACCTGGTCTGTAAAGGATAAAAAGGGAAAACCCAATCAAAAAGGTGTGCATGCTTTTTGGAGGAGATATCCCCATGCACCTCAGTGCTGAATAAATTCATACCTGCTCTTATAACTACTCTGCGAGTTATAGGGTTCCTTTTATTCCGCACTTCAGAGCCAGGGGAGTTTGACCTCTTTTCACAGAGAACAAGTGAATGGACAAGAGGACATGGCCTCAAGCTGTACCAGGTGAGGTTCAGGTTGGACAACAGGAAAAATTTCTTCACAGAAAGGGTGGTCAGGCATTGGAAGGAGTTCCCAGGGAGGTGGAGGTGTCCCCATCTCTGGATGCAGCACTTAGAGCTGTGCTGCAGCCGCCATAGCTGTGTTCCACTGGTGAGACTTTGACTCCTGACTTCAAGAATGGGCTTTAAGTTGTATTGAGCTATTTGACTTCCTAATTCCTGTTTACAAGGGAATATCTACACTATGGAATACAGTGTTGTTTCTGGCTACCAAGTTAGCATGTAGATCACTCAAATGGGACAGTTTGACAGCTTGCCATGCTGTGCTATTTGGGTGGGTTTGACTCTAGAAATAATACCTTTATTGCACGGCAAACTAATTTCACACATTCTCTGTGTCCAATAAAAATGGATGACAGAACATCTAAATTACAAAGAGTTTCACTTACATTGGCTCTAGATTCATTCTTTTCTAGCTCTTAATCCACAGCTCTGATAAAAGCCTGCTTCTGGTATAAGTCTGCGTTTTGGATTTAGCTTCAAGGTTTGGGTTTTGTTGTTTTTTTAAGCAAAGAAGGGAAGTGGTATGTGAAAACAAAAAGCAATGGTGACACATTTTTTTCTTTAGAAAGTAATACTGAATAATTTTGGCAGACTGGAACTGTGCGAGTAACAACCAACATATTTGTGTGCTCAAATCAAGATGTGAAATTTTTCAAAAGTTTAATGTTCAAGGTAGATAATTTGTACTTAGTGCAAAAAAAAAACAAACCATTTTTTTTAATCTTGGCCAGGTGTTTCACTAGTTGATAAAAATAACCTGCTAATATAATAATGTTTTATGCAGGTACTACAGAAAGTCACCTTTGACTGTTACATTCTCATTTTCTGTGAGTTAAGAACTTCCCTGAGAGATTAATTCCAGTTACATGTAAGTTTAGCACCACTAGCAGAGGTTAACTGATTTTTTTTTAATGCTTTTTCTTCCCATATTCTTAGGAACTTGAAGTCAAATTACACCCTTCTCCCTTTGTTTTTCAGTACATTGAGTTCAGTCACATACATCTCTTTTAGTCCATATATTGTGCCCGTTTTTCTTTATCAAATTCCCTTGCAATCTTTAAGGCAGTGCTGTTGAGCGAAACCGACTGCATATTACAGATAATAGTGACAATGACTCCTCTTGGGGGTGCTACTGGCCAAGTACCCAGAGCTTCAGTATCCAGCTCTTCAGGCAGAATGAGGAGGACACTGCTGGCCCCCACGGCCCCCCCAGTATGGGATGCATAGTGTCTCTGCTGTCTGCAGCAGCCATATTGTTGGTTTTTCTCTACCACAGCCCAAGCCATGGCGTATTTACCATCTGTGTCCCACGACACCTCTGTTTTTGGCACTGGGGTCCACATCATTGCAACCGTGCCTGGCTTGAGGTACCCTGGAAGAAGTTTGCAATTCCTGTTTTTAAATTGTCCGGCTTGATAACTGTACAACAAGGCATTTCCAAATTTCAGGAGGTCACCTACTGAGGACAGAAAGCCACCACCAGCCCACTTGTAAGAGTTGTCCACATACGGTGCATTTACCAGCCGTCCCTTTTTGTTGTAAACGTAACACCTAAAAATTCAAGAAAATTCATCTTGTCATTCTCATGTACTATGCGCAGTGATTTTAAGCTACCCTACCTGAAAAGAGCAGACAGAGCATGTATTAGCTTGTTCTTGCAACCATTTAGGGGGTTTTTAAAATATATTTTTAAAATATATTTATTGCAAAAAAAGAAAAATCAACAAGTAATTTAGACAGAAAAACAAAAATTAAGGTGACTTCTTAGGTTAGAAGCTTAACTTCAAGAAAAGTATTAATCCTTCTGCTTAGTCTTAGGATATACTAAGAATAAAGACAATATACAAATAAGAGATGTGACGGAAATAGATCAGCCAACACAGATTTTTTCTTAAATCCCTATACTAGATATGAAGTGTTTTAAAGAACAAGGAATTCTACAGCTGAAGCTTAGGTGACTGCTCTCAGACAGTAGTTTCCATTTATGGCTGATTTCCCCCCAGTGCCCCATTATGGCTGCCATACTGTACAACAAAGCATGAAGCATTAAAGTCTTGCATAACACAAATTAGAAACTGCCAACCAGAGCTGCAGAATAAACTGTCAGGTGCAATACAACAGAAATGCAGAACAAATTATACTTTGGAAAGAAACAGTCCATCATGACTTGATTGATTTCATACAACATGTGAAAAGGACTTTTTGAATAAGTATATAGCCCAAGGAATTTCAACCTATAATCTTTAGACCAAATAAGGTCCATGTACTACTTGGAGAGTTATGAAATGGAAAAACCCTACTCAGATTGCACTTGTATTTGAAAGCCTTTTACCAAACTTCTGAATAACTTATAACACTGAAAGTCAGAGCTTGAAACAAAGGAAGAACGATGAATCCAGATTCAGGATGCAAGACTACCGTCAACTCTGACAGTGAGTTAGTATCTTGTCCCCATAATGAGTGTTTTGATCACAAAAAAACCCTGTTACAAAGACATTAACTTAAACCTCTAAAAGATCTGGAACATGGATTTTTAAGCATTTTCTTATTAAATAAATATAGTATACCCAAACCATTAAACAAACCTTAATGCATCAATACATTCTATTTTGAGGCATCAAGCTCCAATTTGTAGAAGCAAACCCATCAGTGTCTCAGTTTTGCTTAACAATAAGTACCTATAAAAAGACTCCCAGAACAGCATCTGTCCAAATTCTTTGATCCCTCCCATATTTCAGTTTATAAAAAGGATGAACATACACATGTTCTAAAAAACCTTGACTTTACAGGGTTCATAATTTATGGGAACATCACTATCATCCAGATAAGCCTCTGAGCCTACAGCCAGAGAGTCTCTGAAATTTTGCAAGCAAACTAAACACCAGAACAAAGCATCTCAGAATAGATCAGTAAAGCTGTGCACACACTTTCAATATATACTTGTACTTAGTATAAACCTCAGCTTCAACATGTTCAGTATTCTTTGAGAGCATTTTAGAAACCAAACTTTTTAAAAGTCTGACTCTCATTTTCAGTTGAGACTGTTACTAGAACCTGTTTTGTCATTCAACAAATGAATTCTTGTCCCACACCAAAATTTAACCAGGGAGTCAATAATCAATTTCTGAGCCCAGACAGGAAAGTCGATAAAATAAGACAAGAAACTCTAGCCTAATTCCCTATATTGGAATGGGTTATCCAGTTACATAAATTTCCCTCAGCTTGTTGTTTTGTGGGCGTCTTTTGCTTTCTTTGTGTAGGAGTGAGGGGGGCAGCGCAAGTTTTGGGGTTTTTTTCCTATGTTAAATTAATTTAAAATTCAATTGGTATTACACAGAATTTTAATTCTGGTCAAGATTCATACTGAAATTTGATTTATGACTACCTTGTGTTACTGTGAGACTACTACAATTCCATGGAACCCTTTAAATGCCAGTATATTAAGCAAATTAAGGTAACTATATATTCCAACATAATCTAGTTACTCCTTATTTTATTTGCATTTATGTGCTTACTTGTACCCAAAGTAAATGTAAACTTTGAAGTCACCCCTATTACTCCCCATGCCTCCCATATTCACACTTAGAACAAGAAATACTTATTTCTTATTCTGTAATTTTACATGCTAATTACAGAACCTATACCATGACCTTGGAACCAGCTACATGAATAATGCTGAGGTAACACAGCACTTCATTCAAATGTCGTTCATTCAAATTCTGGGAAAAGAAAAATCACACATTCTTAATTCAGCTGTCCTAATTAAAATAGAAAGGGCAAGAGAGTTGTTGTGGAAAAATTAAGAGTTCCACCCCTGTTTACCTTGCTCTGTTATATATCATTGCTTCATTGTCATCCAGGACAGTTGACAGCATATCCAAATCACGAAACATTTTCAGCATATAATCTGTAAATTTTTGTCCTGAAGCTCTCTCCACAACAGCACTTAAGAGAGTAAAGCCATACGTTGAGTACAAGAACTGGCTACCTTGAAGAAACAGTGAGAAAGGGAAAAAACCCCACATTAATGGCATGATGCTTAAATGGAATCATATGTGCAAATAAAACTATATATAGCAATTAATAATCAACCATTGTTGATCCTAGCCTAGGAAATTCTGTACTGCAGCAGACACAGATCCTGGTAAAAGAACAGCACTAAAACCTTCCAGGGATCTCTGTGCACAGTCAAGTTTCATGCCAAGATGTCAACGCTGAAATTTAACATCCTTTCCCATGAGATTTACCACATTGCGTCTAACATGTCTGGATTTGGAAAGCTGACACAAGCCATAAAATTACTGCTTAAAAGATGCTCAGCTATGTAACTTGTTTGTGTGTCTATACCCTGGAGAAGGAAAAACAATAGAAGTATTCACATTCATCACTTTTAGCACAGTGTTTCTAGTTCTAGAATATCCCAAAAGATTATATGAACACAAGCATGCATATTATTTAAGATAATAGAATTTATTTACAAAACAATGTTTCATTTTTAAAAAATCTCATCGTTATGCTAATGCCTTCTATGAAACATTTACATATTGAGCAACTGCTGAAGTGCCTACAGTTGAGACATCTCTTACTTGAAGTGGTTCCTAGAGCTCTCCAAGATGGTGAGTGTTCAACTTCTCCCTCTTCCTATCCCTCTCCCCTTAAATGCACATTATTTACTGTTTATCAGCAATGCGTATAATTTACCTTAACCTAACTCATTTAAAACTTACACCCGAAGTTCCTCAAAGTCCTCTCTAGACCTAATTTAAATAATCCAAATAATAAATTATTTCAGTAATTCTGTGATTCTGTGTTTTTCCTGTAGATTTTTTTAGGTCTGATTTAGTGCCTCAGTAAAATTTTTGGTTTTGGTTCCTATCTAGAACATGACTACAGCAAGTTGGTATCAGCTTACAAAATGCTTTGTAGATACAAATTTGTTACCAGAATTACATTCTGCTTGAGCATTTATAAATCCACTAACTGGTGTGTTTCAGAGCACTTACTGCTCCTGGGAGAAACGTCTTATACATAAATATTACATGACCAGATGCTTCGTGCAGAACAGACCAAATACTTCTCTGCTGAGCTTTTAATGGGGCATGTGGAGGAAAAAAAAAGGGAGGGAAGCAGAACAAACCAAAACCCCCACACAAACTCTTCTCTGGACTCTACTACCATCATTACACATAAAACTATTTGGAACAAAACTCTCACCAAAAGAGCATATTTTGTCTGCATTAATAGGAACTCACCTGGTTTAAAGAATAAAGGATCATTTTTAAATATCTTCAGTGATTCAATCACACTTTCAAATTTTTCCTTCAAATAATACTCTTCCTGTTCAAATTCCTTGTTGTTCCTGCCAGGCTTTGAATGCTGGATTTTTGTCTCACTATTATGTTCTTTCTTCTGTTTGACACAATCAGTTTTTTCAATACCTTTACCTTCTTTTTCTTTTTGTTCTTTATCCTGACAGGATTTTGTTAGCTTAAGTTCTCTGTTTGCCTTTTCCTTTTCTTCTTTAACTTTTGTAATATCTTTTTCATAGTGACGAATCCCACTCAAGTGTGAAACTAACAGTCTTGTGGTAATAGTGACCTAGGTAGACAGAACTACATGAGCTCTCTTCACTAAAAGAAAAACACTAAATCACCAAAAAAGTAAAATTCATCATGACAAAGAACAGACAAAGGTGTAAGACCTTTTAAATATCATCTATTAAACATTGTATTAAAAAAAAAAAAAGTATGCATGTGGACACTACACATTTGATATAAAGTGAAGATCCAAATATGCTTTTTTGAGCAGGAAACATCAGTACTTGTCTAAATGATTTTGAGTGTTTTGTAGGTCCAGATCAGGCACCTGTACACAGATAGCTATGCAGTGACAGGAACAAAAATAAAAAAATCCTCTTACCAGTAAACAATTACATACCTTTTCACCCTCATAGACCTTTTCTGGAAATTCAGGGACATATTTCTGCACTGGAGCATCTAAATCTAGTTTCCCCTCTTCCCACAATTTAGCAACAGCCATCATTGTAAGACACTTGCTGATACTGGCGATGCGCATGATGGTCTCTGGCTTACACACCACACGGTTCTCTACGTCAGCATAGCCCAAACCTTTAAGGAAATTAAAACACTCTGGTAAATCCTTTGCACAGAGTCATGCTGAATTAATTATATGCAATGAATTAGATTTACTGGCCCTTTAAAATATTTTTCCTCCAGCTAAACTGGGACACAAAGCATTGGACTATCCCAGCCCGTTTCAATTCAGTTAATAACATTTTACTGTAGTAACAGCAGTTAATCACAGACCATTGGATTAGACAATGGCATCCCAAGTTGCTGATTAAGACTACAACAAACATTATGATAAATGAGATTAAAGATTAAGCCAAAATTCACACTCCTTAGGTTAAATTTTCAGTGTAGTAAACCCAAAGAGACCAAAACCTAGACCATGAAATAATTGACCAGAAACATTCCTTTTATTGTTCTGAATTAATGGCTGAAGCAGTAAAGGGTCTTATTTTACCGATGCAGAAACTGAGGGAGGAAATCACTCACAAATTCATGCTAATTACGGAACTGTAGGTTTCGCAAAACTGAGGTGTTACTATGTTTCAACATCACTCAGCATGACTTCCATTAAAATACAGCTTAACAGTCTCTGTAACAGTGTTTTCCTATGTAACCAACCCACAAGTCTGGTAGCAAGAACTGGGTTAATAAGGCATTATCAAGCTGCCGAACTAGTCTTCAGTTTGAGCCAGGTTTGAAGAAAGTGCAAGTGATGCTGCAGCATAAAAGCAAGAAAATGCAACAAGGACATAATTGCAGTTTTCAGTATAAGAAAGGCCTGCAAGCAACGCGCCTCTGTCTATATGAAACTGCAGTATAACAGAGAACTGCTCAAGGAAAACCCCAAACCTTGGCAAAGTACAAGAAATAAAACAGATGACATGCCATTTGTCCAAGACCCTTTCTCTTATATAACTGCTACTCAAGAACCTGGTGCTTGTCAATACAGATGCTTTTCTCCCCAGTGAAAACACCTTCCAAACCTCACACATTTCCCATCATCTAGAAAACAGGTTTAGTACTGTGGTCACTGAATACATGCAACTTACACCTGTTCCTACTTTGCCCCCCATGGAGAAAAGAGGAGACCCAAACAACCCAGAACTGGTCTTCTTGAAACTCATGAAGATTTTTCTGAGAACAGATACGCATTTTGATGTTTTTTTTATGAACATCAAATGTCCACATGATATGAGAAGTACTAACAGACTCTACTTAAAATTAAACTGTGTAACCAGAAAAATCAATTGCAGTTTCTGGAAGGATAACACCTGTTAAATCTCAGTACCTTCCCAGTAAAATTACACCTCAGCCCACAAACAGGTCACCAAATGTGAGCCGTTATTCCTTTGACTACTAAGGAAGTTCCTGTGGGGAGAACAGTTCTTTACCTCCTACATACAGGGCTATCAGACCACTGTACAGCTATATGCCCAAAGTACATTCAAAGGCTAATCTGAAAAATTAGTGGAAGAAAGGTTCTCCAATCTAACTGTTGAGACATACTAGCATATTCAGGAAGTTAACAAATTATCAATTCCTGGAAACTATTGAAGTTTCCCAAGGAAAGTATCATTTGATACTACATAAACACACATTTCTGGTTACTGTCCAGAGACAGTATGGATGGGATATCAAGCAGATGAAATCCCAGATTAGCTTGTTGAATTGGTCATTTTTAAAATGTCCATCAGTTCTTGACAGTATACACAACTACTACTCCCACATACTAACCTTCTGACCAGACTTCCTTTCCATCTACAGAAACTCCAACTAATATACCTGGGATTCCTGCTTCGTCCTGGCAAAAAAAAACAACAAACAAAACATAAGAGATTTAGAAATATCTTTATAATTAAAGAAAAACCTCCTTCCAGGAGGTTCAGGCCCTTGAACTGAAAAAGCTATAAAAACCCTACAAATAAACCTGGGCATTGTTGTCAAATTATAGTTGAAATTTTGTTATGTACCAGTTTGGTTCTGGTACAAACTGCTTTTGCAAAGCTGACATTTTAACTCAGCTGTTGGGGAAAAACACACCTAAGAAGAATAGCAAGGTAATATTTTTGCTTTAATAATTCAATTAAATTGCTGAACGGAATATGCGAAAGAAATAAAACATGGCACAGTTAATATGCAACCTGCAAATTGCATCACCAACTGGCAGGCAAGATTTCAAAGAAGCTTCAGCTGGATTTTCAAAGTAACTACTACGTGCTTTTAAAACACAGTCACAGAACATCCTGTGTTGGAAGGGACCCACAAAGATCTTAGAGGCCAACTCCTGGCCCTGCATAGGAGAACTCCAGGAATCCCCCCCTGTGCCTGAGAGCATTTCTCAAACGCTCCTTGAGCTCTGTCAGCCTTGCGAGCCATAGCCACTTCCCTGGGGAGCCTGCTCTGTGCCTGACCACCCTCTCAGCAGAAATCTTCTCTTAATATCCACCTAAACTTCTCCTGACATAATTTTCTGGCATTGCCTAGTCACAGAACGCAGAGTTCAGTGCCTGCTCCTCCGCTTCCCCTCATGAGAAAGCTGCAGTCCGCAGTGAGGTCTCCTCCAGGCTGAATAAAGTGCCCTCGGCCGCTTCTCCTATGGTTCTTGCCTCTCCTTTCTACAGCTTTTAAGGCCTCCCCGTTGTTCTCAGATGCTCCATACTGTGCCACACTCCCACAGACCACTGTATCAAGCTGGCCTAAGCTGCGCCGGCACCGATAGACTTCAGCCGTCCCCCCGCTCAGCACCTTGATCCTCCGCACCAGGTCCCTGCTCCTCTCCACGGCCGCGCCGAAGCCCCGCGGGATCGGCGGCTGCTTCTCCTCCCGCCCGTTCTCTGACTCCCCTCCCGCCGGCGCCGCCCGAAGCCCCAGCGCCAGCCCCAGAGCCAACCCCCAGCCCCAGGGCCGCGCCCCGGCCCCGTCGCCCTCTCTGCGGGGCGCGGGGAGCCGCCCGAGAGCCGCCGCCTGCCGCAAGGCCCGCGCCAGGCCCGACATGGCCGGGGCGGACAAGGCACCGCCGGGCCACAGGCGCCGCCTCGCCGGGCCGAGCCCCGAGCGCATCGAGCGCCGCCGCCTCAGGAGCGGTGCCGCCGCAGCGGCGGGAGCGGGGCAGCGGTGGGACAGGCCCCGGGCAGCGGCGGGAGCGGGGCAGCGGCGGGAGCGGAGCAGCGCAGCTCGCCCGTGTTCACCACGGGCTGCAAATGGGTCCGCTCCGCGCAGCGGGACTCGCCGCACTCGGAGCCGCTCCCCCGGGGCTCGGCAGGACCGGCCGGCCAGGGCGATGAACAGAATCACAGGAAGACCTCTGAGATCAGAGCTAACATCACCTTATCAACTAGACCATGGCACTAAGTGCAACTCCCAGTCTTTCCTTGAATACCTCCAGGGTCTAGATGACTCCAATACCTTTCTGATCAGCCCATTCCAATGGCTCTCTTTCAGTGAAGTAATTCTTTGTAGTGCCCATCCTAAACCTTCCCCAGCATAGTTTAAGACTATGTCCTCTCATCCTGTCACTTGTGTGGGAATAAAGTCCTGGTGTAGGGAGTTCTACAGGGCAATAAGGTCTCCCCAGAACCTCCTTTTCTCCAGGATAAACACCCTCGAGCTGCCTCATCAGAATTGTGCTCCAGATCTTTCCCCATCTCCTTTGTCCTTCTTTGGACCCACTCCAGCACCTCAGTGTCCTCGTTTTGAGGGGCACAGAACTGGATACAGCACTTGAGAGGTGGCCTCACCAGTGCCAAGTACAGGGGACTTAGAGCTGGTTCCTTTAGTTAAACACCAAAAGCCACCAGCTGTGTCCACGGTCAGTTACAGGTGGTATTTGGCAAAATGAGTCAAATCCCTGTGAATCCTTCCTGAGGTTTTACTCTTTGAAAATAAAGGTTTTTGAACCACAAGTCCTCTCTGCCAGGTAACTGGAATGCCCAGAGCCCCCAGTAGGCCCAGCATCACTCATTCTTCCTCCTGATCGAGGTAAGGTTGCAACTCCTACCAGCACCAATTTGGCTCTGACAAAATAACCTGTTTTTAACCAACACTTTTATTACACTGATACATAAGAAAAAGAGAAGGTGAAGAATACTTCAAGCCACAAAATACTTTCTTAACTCTGCACTCCCCAGGAAATGTCTGCAGGATCAAATGAAAAAAGCCTGCTGCTAAACCAGGCAGAAGTACAGCAAGCTAGGCTAACATTCAGATAAAACCTTTTAACTGCAAGATGAGCATATTTGAACTAGGTTTGTCAGGAATTACAACAGCTGAATCTTCCAGCACTGGCGGTAGTGTCAGATTTCAGCCTAGAAGAGTGTGGATGGCACAGCCGGCATATGCAGAGTTCTAAAAGGACAGACTCCCCACTTCTGCTTACAAGTATAGCTCACTTTTTTGAGATGCTAACCTAGGGACTTCAATCTTCTTCATGTCCGATGATCTCAAAAAGGGCAGGATTTGGCAGAAAGTCAGGCTAAATAGCTTTCATGTGTGAAGTCAAATGCAGACCAGATGCTACCCTTTCCACTGCAGGCTTTTGTTTCTCATTAGTATTTTCTCAATAGAACTCCATTGCTTATCACAGTACAACTTCATACCAAACCAGTACAAGATAATGTATGTACTTTCTTGTAACTCACATTTTTGCTGTGTTAAAGTGTCTCTGGGACCATTTTGCAGCAGGATTCTCTGCGTTCTCACATTAACCTGCTCAGCACAAACACTCTTTGACATCAAACTTTTGAATGGGTATTGAAGTACAAAACACTCTCTCTCAGTGAGAGACTTCTCCAGGGTCAAGCTGTTCAGGTATAAGCAGTTTATTACATGGGTAAAGAGAGGGAGAGACCCGTGTCCACCGCCAGCCTCGGCGTGCACGTGGTCAGGGTGGGAGAGAGTGTGGGGAGAGCAGGAGAGGTGAGGTTAGAGATGGGGAGGGAGGGATCAAGAGAGCATGAGAGAGATCGGGGAGAACCAGGGAGGCTTATGAGAGAGGGGGAGGACAAGAGAGGGGTAAGAGGGGAGGAAAACCAAGAGGGTAAGAGTAAGAGAGGGAGAGAGGGAAAAACAAGAGGCAAGAGAGCGGGGAAAAGAAGAGGGTAAGGGAGGGAAAAACTAAGAGGATAAGAGTAGGGAAAACAAGAGAGAGCAAAGCTCCTGTTACAATACAATATATCTTTTTCTATAGTGAATATTCTAATTCCCAGTAACCAATCACTACGAGATACACCCACTAAAGAATTTACATACAGCCTATAAGAATTACTACATTAACATACAGTGTTGCATTTCAACGTCTAAAAGCTTTACAAATTCTTCCCTTGCTTCTTGACCTTTGGACTTTCTATCAGCAGAAGGACATTGTTTCATCAACAGGGATTCTCCTTTAGCTGGCTAGGCTATTGTTCTTTGGTCACATAGTAACTAGTACTCAGCATCTTACGACTCAAAGCAAGCTTTCATTTCTATTTCAATTCCAGGCTTCATATTTTCAGAATTTTCTGCTAAACAATCACATTCATAAGGTTTCCCTGTTTCATCCTCCCCAACAAATGGGCTTGCCATTTTTCTCTGATCGCCTTGAAGAGCTTTGTGCTAAGTTCAGTGGCACAACTTGGCCTATTGCTGTCTGTTTTATCGTCCTTTAAACTGCTGGGTTTGCTAACTTTCAATTGAGGTATCAGGCTTACACTATTTTGAGGGTTTTTGCTGTAAATATTCCTCTACTCTTTTTCTACTGATAGCAATAGAAAATGAGGACTGTTGGAGTCTGAGATACAGAGTGTGTGCCCTTGTTTCTAATACTTAGTTCTAGGATTCAAAGAAACACTGAATTTCATATAACATGAAATTCATGAGCATGTTTTCACGCTGATACATGAAAACAAATGTTAAAGTTAGATAGGAAAAGCTAAAAGTGTGTGTAGATTAGAAAGTTTCTTAAATCACTGGGTGAAAAAGTAGTTTAGAGAACAGGAGACAAGATGGAGGATTTAGGGTGTTGTCTCTTGTCCTTCTTTCTTCTTCATGTTCTTCTCCTAGGGGTTTTTGGGTAGTAGTAGGTGATTGGATAGAAAATACCGTAGTGCAGCACACAGGTGTTGGGTCATTGGGTCACTAAGAAAAATAATTTAGTTAGTATCTGTTAATTGGGTAAAAATGGACATATAAAAGACCTTGAAGATCTTTGTTAGCCATTTTACCCCTTTTCTATCATAGTGCACATAGCTCCTTGTACCTTGTAATGCTGATAAGAAAAGAATAAACAACTGAGACCGAACAAGAGAAAACTGCCTCCCTCTCGGCAATCTTCAGTTCAAAGGGAAAAAGAACCCAAACCCAAAAGTCCTTAACGAGACATATTTGAGGGTCCCCTAAGGCTTTTCACAACCACAGTAGATGCATTTACATGTCTCACAACACACAAGTGCATCTAGAAAGCTCACAGAAATGCCGTGCAATTTTGCCTCTCACTAACCCAGTTGTGAATCATAATAATAACCATAACTCAGGGTGAAGTCGGAGACTCAAGGACCCAGACACACTTAGGAGAGGGCAGGTAGCCAACTTGTTGGGATTTGGCCCATGTGCCACTAAATTTATCCATTGATTTTGGTCAGAGCTGCAGGAGGGGTAGGGGGGAGGTGGCTTGGGGGTACATTTTGCTGGCTTTCCCAGGGAGAATTTCAGCTCTCTGCAGCTCTGGCTGAGTGCTGCATGGAGCTTGGACTGAGCCAGCTGGGAGCAGAGTTGAGGGGGAGTGCAGGTCACATCCCTGTGAACTGCCGGTGCTGCTGCTGCCCAAAGGGCAGTGTTGGCAGCAGCCTCAGTGTTGGCAGCACAGGGCAATTTCTATGGGGTTGGAAGGAAATGTGCTGTTTCAAGCTGGGATTACTGGCTTCTCTGGGTGGGAAAATCTTGAAGACTCAGCTGAGTCCTTCCTGAGAATTGCAAGCCTCGTGTGCCTGTGATTCTTGAGATAGGGTTTAAGTAGCTGCCATCGACTTGAGACAGCATTAAGTGGGTTTGTTTGAGTGGCAGGAATGGTTTCTGTGCTTGGAATAAAGTGTCTTGGGATAAGCAACTCTCCTTCATGGCAGAATGAACTGGTCTTTTTCCTTTTTCCTTCTTTTTCCTTCTAGATTGCAGAGCATTGGAGACCGGCGGCTCTGTGCTGCTGTTTGTTCACCTGTTGTGCTCGGAAGAGACGTGAAATTGCAGGGAAGCTGCGCTTGCTGTAGTGACTGGAGGGAGAAGCACCTTGTCCATCTTGCCGGCCCCCCTGGTGTGGTCCTTTCCCCTCTGGCTCCTTGATTCCCTCTTCTCCAATCAAGGACAGAAGCCCTCTGTCCTTGCTGTGTGTTCTGCACTCAGCCTTTTTCTGTGTCCTTCTCTGTAACTTGCTCACGTGCCTTTTTTAATTCCATCTGTCTCTCCACTGCTCCCCGTGCTGTTGTTTCCCAGTGGATCCTTGTGTCCCCTTCCTTGTCTCTGTTTCTTTTTCAATCCCTCTCTGTCTTGCTGCCCATCCTAGGTTTTGGGTTTGGGTGGGGGTTTTTTTTGTTTTTCTATTTCATCCTACAGCCCATTCTTTTGTTCTTTCTTTTCTTCCTGTGTCCTCTCTGCCACCACTCCCTCTTTCTGCCTCTGGCCTGTGCCTGGGGTTTTGGGGGAGGGATTTCTGAGACCTGCCCCCCTTTCTTGTTGCAGCAGAGCTCCTTTTTGGGAGGGGGTCTATACCTAGAAGGGCTTCCAATAAATCAAGGTGCTGCTGTCCGGGGCAGTTGGAGTTGTTCTGTGCCTTCTTTGGGACTGTGATAAATGAACTTATAAAAATTCGTAGAGATCTAAATAAATATATTTGTAGCAATAATAATATAAAATATAAAGTACAGTGTGGCCCACAAGTCCTTCCCAGATCTAGTCGCGAATTCCCACTCGAGAGATAACGATCCTAGCCGGCGCCCATCAACGGAAAAGAATGAACAGGACACGGG